CATGGTAAGAAATGTAAACACTGTGCTGTAGCCGAAACGGTATTCTAATCAAAATGTACGAGCTCTGGTTTGCATTTTAAAATACAATTGGCAGCCGCGCAGGATCGGAAGAGGAAAAAAACCAAGCTTTTGGAATGTGGTGCCAGAAGGGAGGCAGAGGGTGGTCTGCACATCCTTATTAGCCTAACAGTCCCACCCACGTTAGTATTTAAATTAAAATATAACTTCATGAGAGAAGGGCTTTGGCTATTTAGTTCATTTGGCTTAGCCAGCACATATAAGATTGTACGTGCACATAGTAGGTCCCTAACACATGTTGGTTGGCTGGCTGGCTGGCTGATTGTAATTCTGCTCTTGACATGACTATGGGTAGTAGAGGAAAGTGGGAAGTACAGACCGACTTATGGTGGAATACTAGTGGACACTTGTTCAGTGACTGGTTGTTGGGCTCTCTGGGCTGACCGCAAAGGTGCTACGGGGCAGAAACCAGGCTCCCACTTCTGGTGTAGTTAAGGGAGGGACAAGTCTGCTAACAAGCACCAGTTCTAGGTTTTAGCCCCACCCACAAAAAAAGTCCGTTTTATTTCTGTACCCTCACGTGACTAAATTTGAGTGGTACAAGCTTTTTCACTTGTGTTGAGTATCACCAGGACTAGAATACATATGCCATGACTTTTCATTTAAAGCCCTTTATTATTTCATTATATTGATGTTTCATCGGCGAATAAAACCATCCTTGAAGTTTTTGTTGTTTACTTTCATAGTTATGCAGGACTGAATATCCTCATGCCTTTCTTTCTTTTTTGTGGCGGGGTCTTTTCATGAATATTTACAACGGTGTTTATTACTGGTCAGATAGCTTACAACATACTGCCTCATGACTTTCCAAAAAGTTAATCATGGCCAACAACAATGTCCATTTATGCTATAATAGAAAACTATCTGCTGGTGTTAGATACTTCGCTGGGCTTCGGGGGCATAATCTGAGCAAAATAAGCACAGATCCTGCCCTCATGTAGCTCTTGTCTCCAGACTAGTACACTAGGAGGGTGGCATTAACCAAATTATCACAAAGTGTACAATCACAGACTCAAAAATGTTGTGAATCAAAAATACTGGCCACAGGCCTTTCCCGGTGGTGCAACCAGTTAAAGCACACCACTATGAAGCTCATCACAGCCCCTTCAGCACAAGTTCATTCCCCGCCAAGGTGCACAAACCTCTCATCTCACCCACTGCTTCCCTCAGCAATGTACTTGGTCACTCTGCTGTCTGTTCTGCTCCCCACTATGTCTCTGGTGAATCCTCTCAACTGCGTCTGTAGCTCTGGCCTGTATCCCGGTTCTTTATGCATAAATAAAATCTTAAAAAAAAAAAAAAAGCTGGCCACAAGCCAAGTGGCTGAAATCAACTGTACAATTTCAGTAGCATTATTGGTTTGGGGAACTTCATCTTAAATTTTGCTATTACCTAAAAATGGCTTCTCAGGATTACTTTGCCTGTTTTTGATTGTGAATTGTAACTTCCCTGTTTACCTACTACTTAATTTCCCTATTATAAATCAACAAAACATTTTACAAATTGTAAAATTAAAATTTTACACATTTCACAAAGATGAATAACTATACTTATGAACCCGTCCTTCTATTTTTTCTTTAACTGACTCCTTTACTCTGCATACAAGGCCCTGTCTCTCTCCTCTTATCCAAAGAGGCAGCAGCAACCTGGTACACAGGAGGACTTGGATGTAAATTCTAGCTCTGTGACCTTAGGCAGATTACTCAACCCCTCTCAGCCTCAGTTTCCTCGTGGCTCAAATGACGTTAACAAAAGCACCTTCCTGGTATGACTTTAGCTATAGGTCATATGTGAAAAATTTCTGTATGTGGGATAAAACAGAAGAAAACAAAATGGTCCCTGGCTCTCGCAGATTTTACTCCCCATGTAATAAAAATATGGTTCATAAAACATGGTGCTTGCCAAAAAAGGAATGTGCCCCTTTATAATCTGCAAGTATATTATGATGGTAGCCCCTCCAGACCTCCCCTCCAGTGGCCCTCATAGGCTCCCTCCTCAGAGTATTTGCACCTGCGACTTTGTCTGCAATGCTCTTCCTCCCCACTTTTTGCTCCACGGCTCATTCACCCACTTCAGTCGTCTGCACCTCTCCCGAGTGGGCTTCTTTGAGCACGCCTCTTCTTTCACAATGCCTTTACCCTGCTTTATTTCTTTTTATGGCACTGTTAACTCCTGACATTATTGTGTTTTTTGTTATTTATGTTAGTTTTAGTTATTATGTTAGTTTTAGTTATTTTAGTTTCTCCCACTAAAATGCAAACTGAGAACAGGAACTTTATTCATTGCTGATCCCAAGCAGTTAAACATGCTTGGCACATATAGGTACTCAGTAAGTATTTCTTGAGTGAATTAAATCATAAATGAATGAATGAGTCAGGTAAATAAGGAAGGTGATGCTCCAGATGGAGGGAGCAGTATGTTCAGAGGATCTGTGGCCACTGGGAGGGTTCAGAGCTAAAAAGGTCTGTGGGGCAGGAGTACAGAAAGGGAAAGGTAGTGATGGAGAGACGAGTATGGTAATCCTCTGCATTTGCACTGCCGTCTTACTGTTGTTTGCTTTCATGTTTAGTCAACAAATACTTAATGAACTTTGTGCTCATAGCTGGAGATGCAAGGATAAGCAAGATAGAGTTCTGCTCTTACAGAGGTTACATTCTAATATGTACTAGAGCACTGTGGGTCAAGGTAAAAAGAACTTGAAAGTCACTACCTGTGGCTTCTTATGAGCTGGCTACTCACGGTCAATTGTCACCTATTTGCTATCTACAAAACACAGAAAAACATTCCTTGACTACCTTAGGAATACAGCTCATATTTCGAGGCAGGCCCTGGGACACCTAGGCAACCATTGACCTGATTATGTGACTGTCTTCATGGTGGTCTTGGGATAACTTTGCCTGTGAGAACCTCATACTTAGCTAATGCAAATGTCTCTTGATACATGGTCATGATGTCCCCTTCCCATATAAAACTTTGTCCCTCATTCCTAACCTGCCGTCCAGATCCTATTCCTCATACCATTGTTGTATGATCAGCTTTTATTGTCCTGTATGATTTCAGTAAATGGCACAAGAACTTCCCATCTTGCCTTGAAAACCTGTTCTATGACTGTTAACGTCCCTCACCACAGCTGCAAAGCAGCAACAAAGTTACTGTTGCAACAACTACCCATCCCACTGATCCAGACACTGCACAGAACTCAGGTGCAGAGGATCCAGCAGCTTCCCCCTCCCATTCTTTGTTGCTCCTCACTGTCCTTGGCCTCTCAAGCCTTCTCCCTCCAGTGCACCCAGAGGATACTTTATCCAGAAGAGTGGGCCCTCTGCAATTAATAGGGAGTCAACTTTTCTTTAAACTATCACTAATACTATTCATTATCATGTACTCCAGTCCTTACTGTATGGTTATCACGTCCAGTTTTCTACCCTGCATTGTTAAAAGAGTCAACTGAGGTCAGGCCCTCTCTGGTGGCATGATAGGTTAAAGCACAGAACTATGAGGCCAGCCACAGACACTGCAGCATGAGTTTGATCTCCAGACAGGGAGGTGACTCACATGACCCAGCAAACCTCTCCTGTCTCGCCCACTGCTCGCCTCAGCAGTGCCTGTTCCACTCCCCACTCTGTCTGTGATGAAAATGCTCACTGCCCTTGCACCTCTGGCCTGTGTGCATTAATAAATCTTTAATAAAAGAAGTCAACTTGTAAAAGGGTGGTCCCCAGGAAAAGGGGAAGTTCCAGGTTCCCTGCCTCACCCAAAAGGGTGGAGGTGAAGAAGAGAAGAATCTGGAGTGGAGACTGAAGGGGAAGGAAGCAGGATGGAGAGCCAGAGGTAACCTGAGGGAGTCACATGGAGCAGAGAGACATGTGAAGAAACTGCACTTTCTTCTTGGCCTTGGAGGTTGAAACATATGTGGATGAGAGACCCGTGGGGAGGTGATGATGGCAGTGTTTATCTTGATTTTCATTTTGCTCTTTTCCACCCGCACTTGTCTGCCATTTCTGACCCTTTTCTCTGGGTCTCCGCCAGAAGGTGCTTTAGGCTTGCGGCAGGCTTTCAGGCCTTGCTTTGGGCCCATCCCTTTGGGGTGGACTTTTACCCACGTGGTGATGGGTAACTTTGGGTATTTGATTAGAAATAATATTCTTTGTCTTTTCTGATTGAACACTGATTGTACTAAAGTTCCTTTCCATTAAAGGTCATATATGTCGCGTATTGATGCCACGGATGGCAGAACCTATTTAGAGCAGGAAGGTTTAGGGGTTCAGCAGTATCCCTCTCTCCCTGCCCTGTAACAGATTAAGCAAGTGCAGTTTCTTCACATGCCTCTCTGCTCCCTCACATGTCTCATGTGGTTCCCTCAGTTACCTTCTGGCTCTCCATCCTCTCCAGATTCAGTCTCCTCTCCAGATTCTTGTCTTCTTCAGCTCCACCCTCCTTTTGCATGAGGCAGGGAACCTGGAACCTCCCCTTTTCCTGGGGACCACCGTTACAAACTGCGGTCCTGGAAACCTTGATCCTAGTTGTGAGTTTTTTGCAGACAGTGAAAAATCACACAGCTTCCAGAGCCTAGGTTTCTGAAAGGAGGCCTGGACCGAGGGGAAGGGCGGCTGGATTGGTTCCTAAAATTGTTATCCATGTCGGGTTTTCTACTTTTCTCCTTAAGTTATTTTTCCGTCTAGGTGCTAAAACTTACAGTCTCGAAGCACTCACAGGGCCCCCGAAAGACCACTTAGGGTCAGGAGCAGCGACGCGCAGCTCGGCGCGCGGCGGGCGTCCAGAGCCTGACGGAGTATGCGCACTAGACCTCCGGCGAGGCAGACAGCTCGGAGAGGAAGGGGCGGGGCGCAGCTCGGTGTAGGGCGGGATCCTTGTCGGCGACGAGAGGCGATTCGCTCTGCTAAGGGGAGGGGGACCTCCGCTTCCGCCGGATACCGGAAGTGCCTCTGCCAGTGGGCCATGGAACCAGTGGCACAATAGTGTTTTGAGGTGTGAGGATTGCGGGGGTAGCGGCCATGGAGGCCGTGCTGAACGAACTGGTGTCTGTGGATGATCTGCTGGTGAGGCCTGGCCCGAGGGAAGAAAAGGGAATGTTCTGACGGGTGGGTGCTTAGGAGAGTCAGGTAGGAACTAAATCCTCTCCCCCCAAGCATCGGCTTTTCTGCGGAAGCCGGACTACTACTCCCGGCAGCCTCTGCAGCGTCCGGCCCCTGCCCGAAACTACACTTTGTCTTAGAGGCTAATGGAAGTTGTAGTTTCCTGCACCACCTCGCCTCAGACGGGGCCTGCAGTCTGATGGGGAACCCTGACGGGTCCCGGGTGCATGCAGGAGTTGAGAGGTCAGAATACTGACACCTGTTTTTAAAGTGCTCCTTCAGTGGCGGCAGAACTTATCGATCATCATAAGTTCTATATATTACTGAGTCCGTCTCTGTACAAGCTGCATTACAAATGTAACTCAGTCTTGGTAATTCTAGGAGTTAGGCACTATTTTTACGCCCGTTTTGTAAAGGAGAAACATTCCAAACCCGGCAGGGCGGGCAGGATGGGGGAAGCATTCTCTTCAGAGGAACCGCGTGGGCTGTTGTTGAACAGTTCTGACAGCTTGTTTACTGTTCAGCCACTCTGGGTCAGCTGCTCTGAGAGCGGTGCCTGGAGCCACCAGCAGGTGGCATCTCTGCTCGGTACCACTGGGGGAGTAATGGGAGCCAGGGGGTACTGGCCAGGGAAACATCCCGCTGAGCGTGGGGGTGGAGGGCAGAGGGGCGTTCAGGGATGGAGGAGATAGCAGAGGTGGGTTAGGTACCAAGATCTTCGAGGAGAATGTGGCAGAGAATGGGAAGATAAAATGTACCAGAAATGGACCTTCAGATCCTGCTAGAGAATGCTTTTCCCTCTCTTTCTAAATGACTCCTCTCCTCTCCTATGACAGAAGTTTGAAAAGAAATTTCAGTCTGAGAAGGCAGCAGGCTCGGTTTCCAAGAGCACGCAGTTTGAGTATGCCTGGTGCCTGGTTCGAAGCAAGTACAACGATGACATCCGTAAAGGCATTGCGCTGCTGGAGGGTGAGGTGCCAGGCTACCTGACTCTCCCCTGCCCAACTGCCACTGACTTTGTTCATCCTTCCATCACAAGTGCTGGGGTTCTTTTTCAACGTGGGACCCTGTAGTACAGTCACCTGACAGTTATTTTCCTGTAAACTCACTACAACAAAGGGCTATACTTAGCCTGATTTTCCCGGTGTACTTTTGACTAATTACTACCTCAACATTGTTTTGCCAAACAGAGTCATACCATGTCACTCCCCGTGGGACTTTTGGTGATCTGGTAGTCTAATCATAAGGAAAATGACTTGTCTGGCGGTCACACAGCTAATTAATTAATGGCTCCATTGGAACTAGAAGCGCTTGCCTTGTGTGTCCTGCACCTGTGTTCTTTGCCCCCCACCATATTGCTTATTCAGCAGCTGTTGTTGAAAATCTTTTGTGGGGGTGGTGTGGGAAAATGCAGAAGACAGCCCCAAACACCTGTGAGCAGATGGTGTTTTAAAGATTCATTTACTTATGCATATAGAACTGAGGTACAGGCCAGAGGTGCAGGGATGATGAGAGGATTCACCAGAGACAGAGTTGGGAGAAGAACAGATAGACTAACAAAGAACACTGCTGAGGGGAGCAGCAAGTGAGACAGAAGAGGTCTGCCACGCCACGTGGGTCACCTCCCTGGCTAAGGATCAAACTCTTGCCAGAGCAGCTGCTGATAGCTTTGTAGTGGCTGTGCTTTAACCTGTTGCTCAACCAGGGAGGGCCTGTGGTTTTTTTTTTTTTTTTTTTTTTTCAATTGGAATCCTATTTGCCATTGGGTTTGAATGGGTCACCATTTGTCAGAGGCTACAGTACTTGACCTTGCTCTAACTCAAGTAATCATAGATGAGCAAACAATTGTGATTTACTAAAGGGGCCTATAGAAAATCTGTAAAAATTAGAATCTTAATAAAAATAATCTTACCCTTCTTGTCTATTTGCCAGTTCAGATTTTGAAGGCTTCCTTTACAGCGGGGCACATTTATAAATACCGGCAACACCGCTTAGCAGGAATTTCTAGTGCACAGAGCATGGCTGAACACATAGGTTTTGGGCAGTCACTGAGTTAAGGGTCTGGTGGAGTGATACAGGGAAGACCAAATGGAGGTGAATTTTGAGGTGTCTTTTTTTTTTTTTTTTCAAGGCAGGGGAACACAAACTTAATATTACACCAATCTAGGCAGCAAGTAAGAGTAGTTAAAAATACACAGCAGATGCCAAAACTGACTAGCTATGTCTTGGGCTTCTCCAGCGCTTCGATCTCCTTTTTAGTTTCCTTGTGTGAGCCAGAATTGACTAGTGTTCTTACCATTGCAATGGGGCAGCCTGGTATTGTGCTTCCCCAGAGCCCTGATAAGGAAGTTGAGTGTGACTGGAGCTGAAATAGAGGTTCAAGACAGTAACTTTCTGCCAGGATCCCGGAGGGATTCAGAGAGTGGAGCGGTCTTTGGGACACAAGTGCTAATAAAGGGGAGATACGGTTTTTACTCTCTTCACTCCCCTCCCCAGAGCTGTTGCCCAAAGGAAGCAAAGAAGAGCAGCGGGATTATGTCTTCTACCTGGCTGTGGGCAACTACCGGCTCAAGGTAAGCCACAAGCTGCCCCTCCTCCCTAGAAGGGGTGGGGCACAGCACCCCCTGCCAAGGTAGAGCCCTGGCCAGCAGGAAAGATGAAGAGGACAGTTAGTAGGGAGTGGTGTTGGGTACAGAGGTGCAAGGTGACAGCAGGTCAGGATGTCAAGGGAAGGTGAGAGACAGAGGATCAGGGTGCTGAGGGTGTGGGGAACGAGGTGACGTCAGGATCGGGGTGCAGCCTGAGCCTCGGATTGTTATCTCCCCCAGCTTATTGCCCCCACACTGTTGGGGTTGTTTGTGGACTCTACTCCATTGGGTGGGGCTGGAAGGAGGGAGGGGGGAGAGGGAGAGGGAGGAGCCCCCCACCCCCACCCCTTCACCTCTACCCCCCACCCCTGCAAGTGAAGAGAAGGCCCCTATGAGCAGGAGTGAGAATACTGAGGGCTGTGCGTGTCTGTTTCCTGAGTGCAGGAATATGAAAAGGCCCTGAAGTATGTGCGCGGGCTGCTGCAGACAGAGCCCCAGAACAGCCAGGCCAAGGAACTGGAAAGGCTCATTGACAAGGCCATGAAGAAAGGTGAACACCTTCCCCTCCACCCTCTCCTGTCTCCCTCAGCGCCCTGCCCTCCCACCCCGCCATCCACAGTCCCTCTCAGTTTTGTTACATCCTCTTCCCTCCCCATGCCCGTGCCCACTGTTTTTTCTCCACATGATCTCCTCCAAGCAGTTCCTCCTCCAAGCCCTACGAGTCCTCTTCCCTGAGCCTGTGGCCACAGTCCCCATGACTCCAGATAGAGGCAGCTTTTGGCTGAAGGGTAGCTGGCTGGGAGGATATGATAGCCAGGATCCCTGCAGGGTGAGGCGGGGCTGGCTCCTGACTCTTCCTTTTCCCAGACGGACTAGTGGGCATGGCCATCGTTGGAGGCATGGCCCTGGGCGTGGCAGGACTGGCTGGACTCATCGGACTTGCTGTATCCAAGTCCAAATCCTGAACAAGACCACACCTCTGCCTCTGCCCGCAAAGCCTAGGAGCCCATGAGGACACTTGAAGAGGGGCCCCTGCATCCTTGCTTTCCCTTTCTTCTGCCCCGCCATGAGGTTCAAGGTTACAGCCTCCCCTCCTCTGAAACCTGCCCTTTAGCCCCAAATCATGTACTTTGGGATGAGTGTAAATAAAATTGGGCTTTGGCACTGGAACCTCTGTGTCTGTGTTGAGGAAGGGACGGGTGGATTCCATGGGCCCAGCAGAGGTGTGAGGTCACGTGTGGTTCTCTGCTCCCCTCCTGCCCTCCAGACTGGCGTGGGGTTCTCCTTTGTGCGCTGAATGCCCAGATCCCACACCCTTCCTTCCTCCCCCTCCCCCAGTGCCATGCCCTTGAGCTGTAGTAGGCAGCATGGGCATGTGGCCTTTGCACAGCCCTAGAATCTTGGGCGAAAGCAGCGACCAGGCAGAACTGAGGGGACAGGCTGAGATTTATGCCTCCTGTCTCCTCTGACCCACTCAGCTGCCTCTCAGCATGTGGAGTTTTCCACCCCAGGGGGGCCCTCCACTTAGTTTCCTCCAGAACCAACGCCCTTCCCTCCCTTTGTCTTCCTGCATCTTCTCCTTCCTCCTACCCGATCCTTCATAAGAGGGGGGGCACTGGGGTGGGGAAAAGGAAATGGGCATTTGGCCTGGAATAGCAGGGGTCTTGGGAGAGATTAGGAACCCCGGGCACCCCAGTTGTAGATAGAAGGTTGAGTCTCAGTTCCCACCCCACCTGCTTTGCCCAACGACCCCCACCCGCCCCGTGCCAGGCTCAGCAAAGGCCTTTCTTGCTTCACTGCATACCTCTCGTTCCACAGGGAGGCCAGCCCACAGCCAGGCTGGCCGAGCTGGGGGCCAGGAGGTGGAGTGGGGAGGAGGCATTGAGGGGAACACAGAGGACCCTCGTGGGGAAAGGAGAGCAGTTCCAGCTGAGTGATGCGCTACATAATTGCAGGGGTGTGGGATCAGCCCCTCAGAAACAGCAGCAGCCACATTTGCCAGCAGGAACTAAGATGTCCAGGCTGTGGCTGTGGAACAGGAGACAGTCTGCAGCAGCACCAGTGCTCAGCCTTGGCTTGGGGACCCAGAGTTTCCTAATCCATCATTGTTAGCAGACTGGTTATAATTCTGATAACGCGGCTGCTAGAGCAGCCAGGATCACGTTCCGCACCTGTGGCTGTCCCCCGGTGACTCTGGCAGCCAGGAGTCAAAGCTCAGCCACCACGGGGCAATTTTCAAAATCAGGAAGCTGAAGTTTAATGCAGCCCTGGTGGGCCTGTGGGACGCACAGCTGGTAGTCACCAGCCGTGGAGGACTTGCTGCCCACGAGGAACTCGGACCTGTGGCCACAACTGCTTCAAGCTATGAGGTTAAGTGGTAACATTTCAGTTCCCAGAGGCAGAAATGAGCTCAAGGGGCTCGAACTTGCACTGGTGTCACTTTGGTAACTGATGGGGTTGACCCCAAGTTGCCTGAATCCCGGAGCTGTGCATTTCTCCTCAATATTCCCATCCCTTACTCAACCTTCTTCTTCCTTGGAACTCAGACACCCCAACCCCTAAGGGGCTTTGAGTTTCTCAATCATTCTCACCACATCCAGAGGAGATGGCTCCACTCTCTCGGTCCTTCCCCACTGAAGGCAGCTCTGGGCCTGGCTGTGGTCATTCTCTGTCCCTGTCCCTGTGTCTCTCAGTCACCTCTCCTGGTCCCTCTTATGCATTATCTGGCCCCTGAGCAAAGCTGAGTCAGAGACTGACGCTTCCCCTTGGCTCCCTGTGCCTCCTTAGCTGCATCCGTTAGTCACTCCCCAGTAAGTCCTCTCCCCCCACCCCTGTGGGGCGGGGAGCCAGGGCAGCCCAGAGGCCGGGGGAGGGAGTGGACTTTTGGCCCGCTTCATTTATTCCCTCCATCTCCTGGTCAGCAGCTACTGCACACTCTTGGCTCATTCCTCTGACTGGCCTGTGGGGAAGCAGAAACCCAGAGAGAGGAAAGGAGACAGAAACCGGAGACAGACCTGGGCTAAGGAAGAGGCAGAGGCCACAGCTGGCTTTCCGCCCACCTCACCCTCTCCCCAGTCGCCGGCTTAACAGCCCTCAGCCTCTGCTCCTTCAGGTACCCAGGTACTGGGACTTAGCTCCTCCCCTTCTCTGGGGCCTCCAGCGCCCCCAGGCCCGTGTCCCACCATGTCGATGGCTGTAGAGACCTTTGGCTACTTCATGGCAGCCCTGGGGCTGCTGATGCTGGGGGTGACCCTGCCACACAGCTACTGGCGAGTGTCCACCGTTCACGGGAGCGTCATCACCACCAACACCATCTTCGAGAACCTTTGGTACAGCTGTGCCACCGACTCCCTTGGAGTCTACAACTGCCGGGAGTTCCCGTCCATGCTGGCCCTCTCTGGTATGGGGCAGGGAGAGAACCAGGGAGTAGAGGGTGGTGGGGAGGTGGTGAGACCCTGGCTAGGGTGGGTGCTGCTGTGTCCTGCACAAGGTGCCACAGGGGCACCTAGGTGCATGCAGCCAGGAGTGCGGCAGAGGCCTGGTTCCACGTGGCCCCCAGCCCTAGTGGGACACTCCTCGTCATTCCGAATGTGACACCTGGCGCCAAGGTAGCCGCCAGAGCAGTGTCTGCTGTTTCCTGGCCCTGTGTTTGGGCAGTGACAACAGCACAGGTTCGTAGGATGGTCTTGAGAGTCCTTGAGAGTCACAGGCTGGAGCATGTGAAATGTTACTATGTGTCCACATCTACATGCATACAATCAGCTTTAGCATTTCAGATTTAGGGTGGGAGTGCTAGGATGTGGAGGGTGATGGGGAGGCCCCCTCTTACAGTCTTGGGGGTTGAGACACATGAAAGTCTGAATAGCCTGGGTAGGCTTCTACCGGGCGTTGGTCTCGGTGTCCCGGCACGTTCTAAAGGATGGGGAGTCCTCTGGCCGGGCTCTGCCGGGAGCAGGCCGTGTGCGTGCGCTTGGGTTCTCAGGGCAGCATTTGGTTTTTTGTTTTTTGTTTTTTTTTGGCACTGGGACTGGACCTTACAGCTCTTTAGGTCCAGAAGGTTCTCCTTGGCAGCTAGAGCATCTTCCTGCTCCTGCTCACCCTAGAGTAGTATTCCCCATCATCCTTTCATCTGCTAGGCCAAGAGGGGATGCCCTAAGCCGAGCAGCTCCCAGCCGCTCATCAGGAGCTCCCCACCCACCGGGGACACTTGCCCTCCCAGGCCCCCCACTGCAGGTGCTGGGTAGTACAGGAAGGAACTGAAGTCAACCCTGAAATCACTTCCAGGAATGTCAGAGACACTCTGAGCTGTTAGAGAATCTAAACAGGTCTCTGTGTCCCTTGAGGCAGCTGCAGGGGCTTTGTGCTTCATCCTTCTCTCCACTACTTACTGTTTTCAAGGAGGTACCCCTCTTCCCAGTAAGCCCCTATAAAAGCTGATACCATCTGGGGCTGAAGCCGAGAATGTAGGTAATGAAGGGACAAGGAGGTGGCAGCTCAGCAGTCATCCCCGCCTACCCTTCACCAGCAACGAGGGTCGGGGGTGTGGAGGAGGAAGCTTTGCTGCGAGGAGGAAGCTGTCCCCCCAAGGGAGGCCACCTTGGCTTGAGAGAACGAGTGTGCATGACAGACGCGCCAGGAAAGTCACAGCTGTGAATGCACCTGAGGGGGAAGGCAGGTTCCAGGGCTGTGCTGGGTACGTCCCCCAAACCTTCCCAGCATTTTTACAGTAGCTTTCCTGGCGGGGGTGTCAGTAACCATCTCACAGCAGCTGGGTAGGCACTGACCTGCCCAGAGCCCACGGAGGCAGAGGGGCTGGCCCCAGACTCGGGTCTGACTCCAGGGTGGCCGATACCACGGCTGGGTTTGGTCCTAGTTTTGATTGTCAGCTGCCTAGCCCCAGCCACTCAGCCCACGGCCTATGGCCTTCAGTAATCTCTGTCCATCGGCGCTACCTAGGGATTCAGAGCCAGCCCCAGGTGGAGACTAGCAGATGAATGAGCAGAAGATAAGGGGTACGGGGAGAGGGCGGGAAATCAGAGGGAGTGGCTGGGAGTGAGAAGGTGCTCCCAGAGAACTTTGTCCCTCCTCCCTACCCCCCAACTCTGCACATCCTGGCAGGAACCCAGCCTTTCCCCTTCAGCACCAATGGTACTGCCCCACCCGGAAAAGGGGTGCAAGGTCCTTGTGAGTATTCGGCAACTAACAAAGACAGAAGGGGGAAGTGGGGACCAGAACATGATTCAGCTTTGAGATCTTTCCGCTTTGAGTGAAGGGAAACAAGGCAGGGAAATCATATGAGCTAAAGTGACTGAGGCTGTTTCTGGGCAATGGTATCCCACCTTCCAGATCAGAACCTGGTCTCAACTGAGTGACCCGTAGGCCACTGCTGTCCCCTACTGGTAACTTTGGGAAATTTTCTGTTGAGTGTGTCAGGCAGTGCCCAGTATTAGGAGGCAGACGTGGAAGGAGCTGGAGGTGCCCGCAGTTTCAGCAAGACACAGCAGGGCACCCAGCGACCTAACATAACAGCAGGGGGGTGGCTTTCTCTCCCCCCATGGGCATTTGAGAATGTCTAACCATTCTGATTGTCCCTTTCCGAGGGGCTGCTGCAGATATCTTGCAGGTAAAAGCCAAAGATTCTGCTAAACGCCCTTCAAAGCACAACAAAATATTTTATCAGTAGGCCCTAGGGAAGCCCTGAGGTCTAGGTTGCCAGTGTGGGAAAGGAGAACGTGGAGTCTGAGGTGAACTAGGAAGGAGGGAGGTATGGCCTAGCCTGTTGTCTGGATGGAGCCCAAGCCGAAGGACTAAGACCTGAGCCAGGGCTGCAAGGGACTAGCTTTGTGGTAAAGGGGAGAGGGGATGGAGGGGCAGGAGCTGGTTCAGGGACTGATGGCTGTACCCCACCTCCCCAGGGTACATTCAGGCCTGCCGGGCACTCATGATCACTGCCATCCTTCTGGGCTTCCTGGGCCTCCTGCTAGGCATTCTGGGTCTGCGCTGCACGAACATCGGGAGCAAGGTGCTCTTCAGGAAGGCCAAGGTGGCGGCTGCCGCAGGGGCCCTACACATAGTGGCTGGTAAGTGGGGGGGAGCTGGTGAGTGGGCCTGAGCTGAGGTGGAAGGGGTTTGGGTGGTCCTCAGCAGCACATCCTGGGGTCCTCTGATTTCTCCAGGTCCCCAAACCAGCACTGGCCTCGCCTTCCCCTTTGCATTGACACCTGCCCTTCCATGCTCAGTCCTCCCCTCACCCCCAGCTCAGCCCAGCCTCACCGGGGCCACCAAATCCCCTGGCTAGGAATTAGCAGTGGCACTGGTTTTTTGTTTTGTTTTGTTTTTTAAGATTTATCTATGCATACCAGAACTGGGGTGTAGGCCAGAGGTGTGGGGGGTGAGAGGATCAGAGAAGGGAGCAGAACAGGCAGACTGACAAAGTACACTGCTAAGGGGAGCAGCAGGCGGGTCAGGAGAGGTCTGTGGCGTCATGTGGGTGAGCTCCCTGGCCGGGGAGCTGCTACTTGCTTCGTAGGGCTGCACTTTAACCCGCTGCGCCACCAGGGAGGGCCCTGCAACCCTTTTCAGATTGCAGAACATTTCTGCACATATCCTGTCACTACAAGCCCTGGCAAAAACTGGGGCTTGACCTGGTCTCTAGCTGTGGAAACATGCCGGAGAAGTCAGGTGGCTCCCTGGAGGACAAGCCCCCAGCGAGTGTCCCAGCTGGGTAGACCCTGGAGGCGGCTGCTTCCAAGAAGGAACCTAAGTGATGAGGTGCTAGAGTAGGAAGGAGCAAGGCAGGTCAGGGGTGAAGGGGGCACAAGGGTGGGGCTGAGGGTGGATGTCGCAGACTAGCAAGAAAGCTGCCCAAGGCGGGTTCTGGTGCTGACTAGAGAAGCTAACTTTTAACTTTAGGAAACAAAAGTTATGGCCTGGGGCAGGGGAAAGAAGGGGGCTGAATGGAACTCACCCTTGGACTTGGTGGCCACGTCCTGCATTGGGCAACGGCCTGCACCTGGACCAAGTGCCATTCTCTTCGCCCCAGGTTTATGCGGGATGGTGGCCATCTCCTGGTATGCCTCCAACATTACCAAGGACTTCTTTGACCCCTTGTATCCGGGTACCAAGTAAGTGTGAGAGCCCCACGCTCAGGGGAGTAGGGGTTGGGTGGGAAGAGGCCCAGGCCCCGGAGCTAGCACCGCCCATGACCCGGTCCTCGTCCCCAGGTATGAGCTGGGTTCTTCCCTTTATCTGGGCTGGAGCGCCTCTCTGCTCGCCATCCTGGGAGGCAGCTGCCTCTGCTTCAACTGCTGCTGTGGCGAAGACGAGGACCCTGCGGCAGCCGCCAGGTATAGGTGGGCAAATGTGGTGGGTGGGTGCGGGTGAGGGCTCCATCTCTGTCTGACCTTGGCCTCCTTCACAACAGCTCCTGGGTTCCCTACAAAGCCGCCATCAAACCCACATCCAACCTCACTGTCCAACTGACCCAGCCTGCAGCCTTGGATGAAGGTGACAGCAGCTTTGGCAAATATGGGAAAAATGCTTATGTGTAGCAGACCTGACCCAAGGACCCCAGAGAAAAGGGGTTCCCAAAGCCCTGGGCTCCAGGCGCCACCCCTGCTGATGGCTACAACCTTTAGGATTATTCAGCCGCCTTGGGGACTCAGGTGGGTGCCCAGAAGCCATGCCCAGTTCTAACCACACTTCAGGCCCCGCCTCTCCAGCCGGAGCTCCTGGCCACCCCTATTTCGTCTGACCCAACGGACCCTCCCAGACTAAGAATTCGCCTCTTCAGAGCTTACAGTGGACTCCTGAGGCTGGGCCCCTCCTTTGAGAACATAGGTTCTCAATTGTAAGACTTTGTAAGGTTGTAATGGGCCCCCAAAGTTTGTAGTTTTTGTAATTGCATGCAAAATAAATGTTATTGTGAACTGTTCTCGGGGCTGGGGTGTCAAGAAGCAGCTTTACGCCAAGCAAGAGATAGCCAGGGCAGTGCCGGCGTAATCTCAGTTCCTGGAGCCCAGACTGTCATCTGCCCCCTCTATGGATTGTTTCATCCAGCAAGAGAGAAGGGGTGCGACTGTTTTCAAGATTGTGCTTTCTTACAATTAGTGATGGAGTCACCAAGGAGCAGAGATTGGAAGCCGAACAGGACATGAAAATAGCAGAGAAAACCCATGCCTGACCTGAGTCAAGTTCCTCCTTTGATGCTCTGCTTTTCTCTCGGCGGTGCAGTCTAACCAGGCCTCTCTCGCAGGCTTCAGAAGCACATGCACCTGGGCATTTTCAGCAGCCTGGGCAAACTCATCAGATTCATCACTTCCCTTCCAAACTGCCGTTCTTATCACCCTGTTATCAGCACTGCCTGCCTCTCAGTGGCACATGTGGCAACGCCTATCTTCGATCATCTTAGCTTCCAGCCTCCTCCGCCACCTCCCAATCAGCTGCCAAACCCTGCTGCTCCCCCCTCCACCTACTTCTCCCCCTTCATGGCCTTGTCCTGGGTGAGGCCTTCATCCTCTCTTGCCCACATTCATCATGGGCCTCCCCTACGTGAGCTTCTGACCCAGCTCTGTAATCTACTCCATTCCTCTACTGGAACACCATTCCCTGCCCTGCCTTGGCAGCTCAGGAAAAAGTGGGCTGCCCAGGGCCTTGGGCTCCTCTCAGAAACTGGTGCTTTTGGAAATGCTCCCTACATCAAGCACTCCTCGGCTGATAAGACGGCAGAATCTGTCTATCCCACTCCCGACTCTCTTGCCCTCATACAGTTTGTGGGTTTATCCATGATAAGTCCAAAGTCCATGTGCAAGGGGCTGCACAAGAATGTGGACTGTGGGAAGCACCTTTCATGGGGGACCCTTGTTGTACCCTACTACAGCCAGGTACTGGGCCACATGACTCGTTTAGTAGGTTTCTCTCTCAAACATGAGACACACGCTAGAAGTCTCACAATTCTGAAAGACCATGAAAGCTCCACAGGGGTGGCTGGTCCCCTAGTGAAGGGCAGATGTCAGTTACAACTCCTGACACCACCCAGACCCACCCCCCAACCCCAAATTCTCCCTCTGTTCCACCCCACAGCCTCTGCCTCTTCTCGCCTTCTCCTTTCAGGAAAACTAAGTTGAGCCAGGTTTCGCATTTGAGCATTTAAGTATGTGCCTTAATATAGTCTCTCGGTTAAGCTTCAATTTCTCTGTCCACCATGCCCGATCACATGGCTATAAAGGGCTATGACACAACCTTCCTAACAACACTTTTCTTTTTTGCTGGAAGCTAGAGTGGGCACCAAGTCATGGTCCCACCACCAAAGACCTTAGAAGCTAGGAGCAAACAGGAATGTAAGCAGTTAGCTTCCATACAGGGGCAAGGCGCTGGGGTGGTTCCAAGGAACATCCTGTTTTTGAGGGAACTGGCCGTGAAAAAGCTTAATGACAAACTGCTTTTGATCCTGGGCAGGAACGTCAAAAGCTTATCATTTACTCAGTACTTGCCAGGCACCACATACTAAGTTAACGTACCTATTTAATCCTCATGGGCCTGGAGGCAACCGAATAGCCAGAGAGGTAAAGTAACCTGTCCCAGCTACTCAGTTAAAGTAGTGGGGCCAAGATTTCAAGATTAGACAAAACTGGCCTGCTCCCCAAAATTCTTGGCTCCAAACTAACTACATCAATTAAATTTTTTTTAAAAAGATTTATTTATTCATATAGAACTGGGGTACAGGCCAGAGGTGCAGGGGCGGTGAGAGGATTCACCAATGACAGAGCGGAGAGCAGAACAGGCAGGCTGACAAAGTACACAGCGGACGAGACAGGAGAGGTCTGCTGTGCCATATGGGTCACCTCTAGGGCCAGGGATAGAACTCACACTGAAGCGGCTGTGGCTGGCTTCCGGTGCTGTGCCACCAGGGAGGGCCCTACATCAATTAAATTCAATGCTCGTTGAGGTCTTTAGGTTCAAGCCCCCCATTCCCCAGTCTTCTTGATCCAAGCATGAGGTTCTGCTGCCCACATACCCAGGAAGGGACTGACACTGGATCTAGCATCTAGAAGCTTTTAGCATTATGGAGATTCCCCAAAGACCCAGGCATCTTCCAAGATGGGGACCAAGTCTACTCCAGAACACAGGAAGCTGGTAAAATTTGATTGAGGTTTTCCGTGGAACATTATGGCTTTAAGTGGGAGTCCAGACATCCTGGAACCAGCTTCCTAGAGGGATAACTGGTGGACCTGTCAGCATTAGAGCAGCAGAGACCAAGGAGGCCTTGTGTCTGGCTCTGTCTCACCAACTTGGGGAGAGCTGAGTGCATCATTGAGTAGACAAATCTTAACAGCAGGCAGAATGATAGAATCATCTAAGTTATTCTATCAAAACAAAATATGAAGCAAAGTCGGTGCATTTAGGAAATAAACCAAAGAAACAGCTGACTCTTCAAATCTGATAGAAACTGGGACGCAGGTGATCACAGTGAAGCACAGACGCTGTTACTCTGCCAAGAAAATCTCTCCTATTTTTGCTCATGAAAGGAACAAAAATCTTAGTGAAGAAGAAAATAGAAAGGTTAGGACCCAGGGAAGTTTCCCTTCTTGGGAAAGAGACAATAAGATAGGCTGGAGTTAGCAGCCAGCAAATTGGATTCCTGGTGTCCCAGTTACTGCTGCTGCACAATGAACCACCCAGGACTCACTGGTATAAACCACTTTATTATACGTGCGGTCTTGGCCAGGAACTGAGACACGGCACAGCAAAGATGGCTTTGTGTCTGCTGCCTGGTGTTGGGGAGACTCCAGGGGCTAAGTGACTTGATACCCAGGGGCTGGAGTTACCAGGATGCATCTTCACTCTGGTGATGGAAGCCTAGGACAGCTAGAAGGCGTATCTCCGTTGGGTCAGTCAACAGGAACACTGGGCTTCCTCGCAGACAGCCTTGGACACGGTGGCTGAGGGCTCCAGTAACAAGAGTGCCAGGGGCAAGGCAGGCTCTGCACTGTCTTTTACAGCCTGGCCTCGAACGTCATGTGGTCTCATTCTGCCACTGTCTACTGGCTGAAGCAGACACAAGTTCACCCAGAACCCAGGAGAAAAGGCCCCACCTTTACATGAAAGGATAGTCAAAAAATTCACAGCCATCTTTAAACCACCACAATCCCTGTCCTCTCCACTATCCATGCAGCTGTCACCAAGCCACTTGACAACTGCAAGTCTGCGGAAAAAGGGCAAGCATTTCCTCAGGATGACACCAGGACACTTAGACGATCCTCAGGGAAGCCCCCCAACAAGGGGAGAATAGTCGAAAAAGATGTCTAACACCAGTTTTGCTGGATCTCATTCATATTCACATTGAGGTCATTTTTCAACAAACACTTCCTAACCACCTGCTTTGCTCTGTTCCAGTGGCGGCAGGCTTACGACAGCAATTTCAAGGAGTTTACACTCTTCCAGCTTGCAAGCCACTTAGAGAAGGCATGTATAAGGATGGAGTTCTAAAACTACAAGAGTCCCAGATACAGGGTCACCAAGAGCAGGACTCTCTAAACTGAATTACCCTGGGTCCCCAGAAGCTTCTGGGTTTTCTCTGTTGCTAATAGTTTCACATACAACAGCCCCTGATTAACAAGAGCTTACTTGGGTCAGCTCTTCCCTCAGCCTGGCAGCACCAAAGAGAGCAGCTAAGCTCTTCCACTGGGTAAAGTACCAGGGCTGAAGACAGGGCTGGCTCCTCCTGCAGTAAGATACCTCTGCCCCCAGCTGACTCCCAGTGCAAGAATCTAGTTGCTCTCAAATGATATTCTTGGGAACTAGACTAACAAGAAGCAAAAACAAAGGACTAAATTAAAAAAAAAAAAAAGTGGTATCTAAAAGTAGCCAAGAAATGCAGAGACATGGCGGTGGCAGGAGAATGGCACAAAGTATTTCATGGTTAGGATCCAGGGGGGCAGATAGTGAGGGGCTGATTGACAGGAAACAGAGAGACAGAGCCACATGGCAGAGAATAGGAGACAAGTGACCCTGAACCTCACTCCCACAATACTATGTGACCAAACAGGTCAGCTTCTCCTCGCATGAGACCTTTTATTACACAGTGATCTATCAGCTCACAGTCCCCGACAGTCCAGACTGCTCTTTCCTGAAGGGTAAGACACAAGTTTTGTTAGGCAAGTGAACCGCACCTCTTGGTCCCGAAGGAGCACCCTGCGTTTGGCGATGCTCTCCCTTGAGGTCAGGGTATGCCTGGAGGGCCTTCCTCTCCCGGAACAACCAGGCTCACACAGTCCACTTGAGGCATCTGTAGGTGGAGGAAGTCCAAATGAAGACTGTTCTGGGAGGATACAGTGGCAGGGGGAAGAAGGTGTGACCCCAGGGGATGGTCCAAGCTCACCTGGTCTCCTGGTGGGTGCCCAGACAGCGCACAGTGCAGTACCGGGCACCACAGCTCACACAGGTATATGGGGAGGGGAAGCCACAAACAGCACAGAAGGGGCGCTGGGGCCGGGATGGGGGTCCCGCACAGGCAGTCAGGTAGTTGGGGCCCTCGGCCACGCTCAGGTTCTGCAAAAACAAGGGGGCAGGCTCCATGACCTCTCCACCCGCCTGCACAACAAACACCTGCCAGGAGTAAGGATTTCTGGAGGCTCATTTCCTTCCCTCTCTCACCTGCTCCTCTAGCAAGGCCTGGAAGTTTTTTCGGAAGCGAAGTTTAAAATGATCACCTCGGGTTTTCTTCTTTTTCTTTCCTAGAGAGCAAGGGGGATTAGTTACTTGGCATCTGCTGAGAAAGATACCTCCTTTCTCTGCCACATCGTCGCCGATACCCACTTGTCCTTTCCCCCCCACTGCCCACATACTCACCTGGATCCTAAGTCTTCCTCTACTTCTTTCCCCGCATTCTCCAAACCTAGCTACTTCCATGTCTACACTTCCTAAATTAAGGCTTCTATCAGAACTAGAATTATCTCAGAGGTTATCTGCTCCATCTTCCTTATTCTATACTGCAGAGGAAATGAACGCAGAGAAGAGGGAGAACAGCTGGCCCACATGACAGCAGCCAGTCTCTGACAGAGCCTGGTCAGCTGCCTCCAGCCCAATGTCCTTCCACAATGATGACTAGGGCAGACTCTTCCCCTTTTTTTCCCCTTCCCCTCATCTTTCCCTTCCTCCTCTACCCATCTCACCAGTGTCTGCATCGTCGTCAAACTGCGGTAGCCTCTTTCCAAGCTGGGGGAGTCCTGCGTGGGGGTCATCCTGGAAGTTGTCATTCTCCAAGGCCTCAAGTTGCCTATTGATGCGGCGTTGTCGGGCAGCACGGTCCAGCACCCGCCGCTGTCCAGGGTCCTGGGAGCGAACTAGATGGGGCAGAGCCAGAGAAGAAGTTATTGGGGACACAAAGAGAAAAACTGAAGTGATCTTGGCTCTGGCAGTGTGTGAAGATGTCCAAGGAGTGGGTCTCTGAATGTTAGTCACCCAGCCATGATCCCTATATCTTCTCCCAGTATGTCCTATCCCTCTGGACATGTCCCTCGGCTTACTTGCTTCCCAACTAGCCACCACTGCCATTTCCGCCACTCATATATGTTTTCTGTCCCTTTGGCCCCAGCCTGTCCTCCTAGCCTCAGGCCCAACCAGTGAAATGTCTCTTGGAGTCCTCTCACACAACCGTGCCGATGAAGTCTACTGTACACGCAGGACTTCTGGCTCCACTAGCACCTTAATACACTTGGCCTTGATACTCAAATTTGGTGATCGCATTTTCTACCTCAAAGAAAAAAGGCCACACATGTAGAGACACTCATCTTTCGGCCTGCCTTCAGCCACTGTGCAGGGGCACGCACCTCCCCTCCATCCCAAGTGAAAACAGCCCACCAACCTGAGTCCCACTGACAAACTGAATCCAGCCCAAGTCCTCCTTTCCCTTTCTCTTGCACCTTCAGTCCTGACTCCTCAAATGGTGTACTTTCTCTTCAGTGGAAAGACTTGCTAAACTCTAACATACACACCTAACTTCGCAGATAAGCTTCTGTGTGAGCTTTCATTTCCTCACCACCTGTCCACCCCTCAAATCCCACGTCAACCACCTCTCCTTCAATGACACCATGACGACCTCCCCCCAAATCCGGTGTGCATTTTACTTGAGCTCTCTAGACTTAGACTGTGTTGACGATCTCCCTTGGATTGAGAGAGTCCCTTCATCAGCTTCTTTCACGTGACTCCAGGTTTTCTCATGGGTTTTTCATCCCCTATTGTACTTTTCAGCCTCCTATATCAGCTACTCTCTCCATCTCTAAGGAGATAGCTGTTCCTGTTCTTTCTTGGCCTAATGTTCTTTCTGTGATTCCTAGTCCAAATACAGAGCTTGCTCACCCACAAGCATTTGACTCCAAAAATGATCCCCTCTATCCAGAACTTTCTCTCAAGCTGCAGAACTGGCTATCCAATTGGCTGCAAGAAAAAACCTGCTGACCCCATTAGCACTGCAACACAAAAGAATCTTCCCAACCCAATCTACTTCTCCTGTAGACTCTCTTAAAGTGACTGGAACCATCTATGTAGAAATCCAAGCCAGAACCCTAGGAGTTATTTTAAACTCTCTCGCTCTTTATTATCATACCAGATTGATAATTCTATACAAAAATATCTCTTTATTCATCAACAATATCGAGTGTCTGTAACCAAATAACAGCATTAGCACCACAGCACCAGTGAGTGACACTTCCCAGGCATGCACTATGAGAGGGGCAGTACACCAAGCTCTCCGCACAAATGGAATGCTTTAATCCTTATAACAACCCTGCGACAGATATCATTATCGTCCCCAGTTTAACTGAAGTTCAGAGGTTAAGAAGTGTGTCCAAAGTTCACAAAGGTAGTGACTGCCTGGGTCAGAACTCAAATCTAGAACTGCCTAGCATAGAAAAACATGATTTTGATTACAAAACTATCTGCTTTCCTTCCAAGTCTAGAGACTCAAGAACTTACAGTCTAGTGGGGAAACAAATGTTCAGACAAACAAGCACAGCGTATGCTAGGTCAGGGAAGGACAAAGTGATGTGAGAGAAACACCCAATCTAGGCGGAGTAAGCCAGGAAGATTTTTCAAAGGAGAGTCAGTCAGGCTAAGACCTGACTGATGAACAGTTAGTCCAGCTAGGAGAGAGGAGACAGTCTCTGGGGCCAGTATGAAAGGTCTGGATAGGAGACTGTGTGCCCTTCAATAAGTTAAAAGAAATTCTTTATGGCTTGTATATAAGGAGAGGGGGCAGGGACAGAGTGGACATGAAGCCGGGCTGACCATTAAGTGTCTTTAAGTATGTAAAGGAATTTGTTGTGTTTTTTTGGTTTATGTTTTCTTGGATTTCAAATTATAAAGGAATTTGGACTGAGGGATTTTTATGTGAGGGTGGTGGTGATCCAGATAGGGGATTAAGAAAGGAGTAACATGACTGGATTTATCACAAGTCAATTTGACAAGAGTGTTCCAACCTTTACCTCTCTTTATATGGACCACTGAAAAGCTTCCAGCCTCCAAACTTGCACCAGGTAATAAGGGAGCCACCAACTACATGTGGAGATTGAGATGTACTGAAGCCTCTGTGTTATAAATGTTACATCAGCAAAAAAGTAAATGAGAAAAAGGGGATAATTCTAATACATATAGTCATCACTATCATAACTAGAAATAAGTAAATAAATAATAACCAGACTCCAGAAAGATCCTTAGCCCTTCCACCATGTGAGGACACAGGTGAAAGACCCCACTTATGAACGAGGGAGGCCACCACTAGAAGGCGTGGAAGACCCCACTTATGAACGAGGGGCCCACCACTAGAAGGCAATCAATCTGATCCCTTGATCTTGAACTTCCCAGCTTTCAGAACTGCAAGAAATAAACTTGTCATTTATAATAAATAAATTTAGATATCAATTACGAATAATCTTAAATCTTTATAAAGTCCAGTTCATCAGTCACACTAGCCACCTTTCAAGTGTGCGACAGCCTCCAGTTGTTAATAGCTGACATATCAGGCACATTTCTATCATCCTAGAAAGTTCTATTGGACAGGCTCTGCGGGTCCTTCAGCACCGAGAGCACCTGCACTGGGCAAAACCGTCACTTGGCTTAAGATACGGGCACGCGTTTTCTTCCCTTCCTCCCTGTGCCACGACGCGCGCCGCTGTTCCAGGGGTCCCGGCACTTAGCATCCTTGTCTCAGTACTTATCATTACGAGATACAACAGCAGGGCTGAGAGTCCGCCCCCTCCCAGAAAGCAGGTTCTTAAATGATAAAGATCTTTTTGCTTTCTTCATCCCCAACTTGGCATCAATAACACAAGAATGGATGGTCTGAGGGAGTCCTCGCGCCAGGGCTCAGGCGCCAGAGAAGAGATTTGAGACCAAGTGAGGAAATCCTAGACCAGATTAGGATTTGCCGGGAGAATAGGACCAACCGCCAGGGGCTCACAGACCTGAAGTTTTCTTCTCCACCATTTCTAGTCGCAGCTGACGGAAGCCCCTTCCACGCAAGCGTACTGAACTGCAGGCTTTGGTAGGGGCACCATCATTTCCGGCGGCTTGTGCTTATGCGCATGCGTAAAATAATTCCAATGCTTTGACTCATCGCGAGACGTTCCCTTGGAGACGAGCAAGCTTACCGCCATATTTCATAAGGGCAAGACTACTTCCGGCCTCTGTGTAGTTGTGTATTTGCGGGACTCCCCGAAATGGGTCATCTTAAAGAGTTGCCAAGGGTCTTTCGCGAAACATTTTCTTTTGGCCCTTTTGAGGATGTCATCATCGCAAAAACACCCCCTAGAGCTTCTCCCCGGAACTGCAGAGATGACTGCCCAGACCAAAGAAATTGGGGCAGTCTTGAACGGGCAATCCGAGAGGTCTCCAGAGACCCTACGCTAAAACTTGCCCCGCAACTCCGCTGGCCGTAGACTCCGCCGTGTAAACCCTCGCGCCCGCCCCCTCGTCCCCGCCCCGCGCGCCCCCACCGCCTAGCTCTTCTGGTCTTCCGCCCGGCAGCTCCAGCAGAGACCCCGCCTCTGCGTCCAGCCGGACCCGCACGGGGTCACTTCCCCTCTCCGGTTTCAGTTTCCTCGTGTGTCCGGCGGGTTGTGGGCCCCACTGGCTCCGCTCAAAGTCTGGGCTCCAGATCGCGGGCCTGCGCTCCCGCCCCGCCCCCGCCCCCGGCTGGGCGCCCCCTCCGCTCCTGTGCTTAGCCCGCGCGCTGGCGCCGCGGGACAATCCTCGCCTTGTCCGGTGGGCGCCGGCATCTGGAGCTTTCTGTAGCGCCGGATACGCCTTTTTTCCAGGGCGGAGCCCTAATTCTGCTACTCCGCAAAGTGGGCGGCATAGCAGTCCCGGCACCCCCTTTTCAGAGCCCCTCTCCGGAGTTGGGATCCAGGCACGCCACCCACGCCCGGCGCGAGCCTGAGTGCGGTCCCGGCCCACGCCCAGCGATGGCCTTCTACAGCGGGGGATTTCGGCTCCTGTTGTTACCGCTGCTGCTGCTGCTGCCGCCGCCGCCGGTGGGCCCGACCTCCGACCGTCCCCGACGCGGAGACCCGGTCAACCCAGGTGAGAACCCGGGAGGGCCAGGTGGCTGAAGTGTCTGCCTGCCGGGACCTCGGAAAAGATCGAGGCCTCGAGGGTGCGGCTGGGCGCTCACAGGGCCCCTTCCCTCTTTCCATCCTAAACTGAGGTTCCCAACCGCCTATTGCAAACTGGTCTGAATTTCTGGGGCTCTCCGACTCTCACTGGAGTCAAAGTTTTGCAGGGTGGAATGGGGAGAAAATTAAGGGCCAGTAGCAGTCTGAGGGAGGGGAAGGGAGGCTGCGCTGCCGGGAGTCCTGAGTGCCCATTCCTGGCTGATGACAGAGAAGCTACTGGTGATCACTGTGGCCACAGCTGAGACTGAGGGATACCGGCGTTTCCTCCGGTCCGCAGAGTTCTTCAATTACACTGTGCGGGTGAGGAAAGGAACATTGGGAGGGGTGGGCTGAGGGCTGGATGCCTGGGACTCCACGGTGAGCCTGGTCGTGAGTGGCCACGCAGCCTGCTGATGTGTCCGATGTGTCGGGTCTCCCCAACAGACCCTGGGCCTGGGAGAGGAGTGGCGAGGCGGTGATGTGGCTCGGACAGTTGGTGGAGGCCAGAAGGTCAGGTGGCTAAAGAAGGAAATGGAGAAGCATGCAAACCGGGAAGATATGGTCATCATGTTCGTGGACAGGTAAAGGGTCTGGGGAGGGAAGAGAATGGAGGAGAGGAAGCCGAGGTTCCTAGTACTGGCCTGTTCACCCTCCCTTTCCTCACCTAGCTATGATGTGATTCTGGCTGGCAGTCCCTCAGAACTCCTGAAGAAGTTCGTCCAGAGTGGCAGCCGCCTGCTCTTCTCTGCGGAGAGCTTCTGCTGGCCTGAGTGGGGGCTGGCGGAGCAGTACCCTGAGGTGGGCACAGGGAAGCGCTTCCTCAACTCTGGTGGTGAGTGGCAGAGTGCCAGAGGCAGAGGGACCAAGTGTGGTGGGGCAAGGAATGTTCCAGGTGTCTGGGACCAGGGGAGAGTGCGGGGACTGGTCCATGGGACTCTGGGAGACCCAGAGTCAGCACCTGCCTTCGCCTCCCAGGATTCATCGGCTTTGCCCACACCATCCACCAGATCGTCCGCCAGTGGAAGTACAAGGATGATGACGACGATCAACTCTTCTATACTCGACTCTACCTGGACCCAGGACTGAGGGTAGGGAGGGTCGAGGAGGAGGGCAACCTGCAGCTGTGTGGGGCTGCAGGCCACAGGCCGAGTGGGAGAGAAGAGGCTTTGGGAAAGATATAAAAAGAAAAATATGGGAGCTACATCTCACCCCCCCTTTTATTAGTTATTCTTAAGCATATTGCTTTAATGTTTCTGAAGAGCAGCGATGCCATTTTGCTAAAGTTAAAATTTTGGAAAATCAACTGGACCCCAAAACTGCTCCCAGCCTTTCTATCTAGTGTATCTAGGTCTTCACTTCCTCTCCGTCCTGCGTGCATTTCTCCCAGGTCCCAGGGAACAGGATCAAGGGGTAGAGGAGCTACTGTGAAGCTCTTCTGGGTAGTGAGCCCAGAAGAGTCCGACGACAGCTGGGCTGCTCAAGTGCTCCGTGGAGTAGCTTCTGATGCCCCAGCCTCTTCCTTCTGCCTGCGCAGATTTGCTATCTGGGAGGTTTGCTTATCCAAAGGAAATGAAATAGTTTTCTCTCAAATTATATTATAGGAAATATTGCCAGATGCTTTCCTTTAGTGTCATTCCAAGTGTGTTAAGCTCAATCAAGTGACACGCGATTGAGGAAGAGTGTGGTCGTTCACTGGGCCACCAGCACTCCCAGCTCATCTGGGAGTTCCTCAAGGAGGAACGCAGGCACAGTCACAGGGTGGCCCGGAGTAAGCAGCCAGTCCCCACTGTCTGTGCTCCCACCCCCAGCGCTGCAGCGGGGCCCTGTGGTCTTCAGCTGTTTATCCCACCGTCTCCCAAGAACTGCTCCTCGCTCTTGGGTTACCCTTCAAGGATTTCATCAGACAGCTCTGTTGCCACCCTCTTCCGCACCCTCCATCGCTTGCAGCTTCCTGGCAGGGTCTGCCTGTGCCGAAGTACTTCCTGACGCGACCAGCTGCGGTGCTGGCCCTGTGCACCTGCTTTCTCTCCCGGAGTCACCTGGCTGGTGTCACCTGGTGCTCTTCTCTCACCATGTGGCCAGCCACCAGCACCTCCGGTGTGTCAGGGCACTAGTTAACCCCTTCAACTTAGCTTCCCTATGGAGACGTTTCTGCCATGAGCACTGTGCCTTAGCTGTGACAGCCACATTCGGCTTCTCGGGCTGGAGGGTCGGCCTCACTCACCGTGTCAGGCTGGTCCTGCCCTGCAGATGCACCGTGGCCCGGACGGCATTGGCCCAGTGCTCCCTTACCTTCACCTCCACTGCCTTGCTCTAGCCTGTTCCGGCCGCAGGTTCCCAGACACCGTGTGGGTGCCATGGGCTGGGGGGGGCCAGTCCTGCTCCTGCAGGTCCCTCAGCAGGATCCCCAGGGTTTGGCTGCACCTTCCATTCAACTTTCACCCAAATTCCCCAAACCTGTGTTGTGTCCCCTGGTTGCTTTCCCTCCCCCTCCCTCTTCACCTCAGCAGCCTCCAGATTTTTATTAATGTCTACTCCTTTTTTAAAGTGTTGTTCATAGTTGAGTTGTCTGTTGTGTAAATGTCCAGTATTTGCTTTTGTCATTCTGACTTTGCTGCACATAATTCTATCAAATCCCTTCTATTTGGCTGAAAATGGCTGCATTTCATTCTTATGGCCACGGAATACTCCACGTGGCTCTACCACATGTCCTGATCCAGTTACCCCTCATGGGCACGTTCAGGCTGCCTCACGTCCTAGCTATTGCAAGTGGTGCTCTGTGAACTGCGGCGCACATGGGATCTTTTTTTTAGTTTATTTTTACAGGGTTTTGTACTTTTTTTTTTTTTTTTCATCTCAATTTTAATCCCATGGGTTTCCCATCACTGAGTCACCGGCGCAGGGGATCTTTTGATGGTAGTTTCATATTCTGTGGATCTGTGCCCAGGAGTAGGCTCGCCAAGTCCTTACAGTATTTCCATTTTTAGTTTTTAAGGGAAAGCAGTCCCCTGTTTAGCTAACTACGATCTCATCCCCTACAGGAGAAACTCAGCCTTAACTTGGATCATAAATCCCGGATCTTTCAGAACCTCAATGGGGCGTTAGGTGAGGAGAGGGGACGTGGGGTGGGGGAGGTGGTGTGTCTTCAGAGAGCCCTCTGCTGCTGGGGGTCCTGAACTTGGGAGGGTCTCCTGGCAGAATGGGGAGGTCCTCAACTCTGCTTTATGTCAATTTGATCAACCATCTGGGTGGCTTGAGTGGCTTGTAGAGCTACTTGCTTTCATCCTAGTAGTGATTAAAGTGGCCTTACTCCTGTTACTTTACTTAACAATCTTACAGGTGGGAGGAGTATGGTTCTCACCTGTTACTGACTCTCTGAGGGGCTAGTGATTTGCCCAGGTGAGGAAGTGGTGGTAGATTGGAAGTGCTGGGGCTCCCCATGGTGGCAGCAGCCTGGTCAGGACCCCAAGAAAGAGAAGGAAGCTCATCCCTGCTCCACAGCCCTAGTCCTTCATCCTCTAGAAAAGCCAGGATCTCTCGTGTGGAAAGCACCTGTTGCTTAGCAGCTTTCCGAGAAAGAAGCCTAAGTCTTGGTCTTCTTCCCCAGATGAAGTGGTTTTAAAGTTTGATCGGAATCGTGTGCGGATCCGGAATGTGGCCTACGACACACTTCCTGTTGTGGTTCATGGGAATGGCCCCACTAAGGTGCCCCAACAGCTCACACCATCAGCCCTGGGTTTGCTCCTGCCCTGCCCACCTCCAGCCCTGCCCTGCCCTGCCCTGCCCTGCCCTGCCCTGCCCTGCCCTGCCCTGCCCCTGGCTACCTCCAGCCCTGTGGAAGCACTCAGTCAGCTCCAGCAATGGAGGTACTGGGAGAGGTGCTAAGTATCCATATGCACTGGCCC